CTACCCTAGTCATGGAAATAGAATTATTTAACAATACTCTATTGCTGCCTACCCTAGTCATGGAAATGGAATTATTGAACAATACTCTATTGCTGCCTATCCTAGTCATGGAAATGGAATTATTAAACAATTTTCTATTGCTACCTACCCTAGTCATGGAAATGGAATTATTATACAATACTCAATTGCTACCTACCCTAGTCATGAAAATGGAATTATTGAACAATACTCTATTGCTGCCTATCCTAGTCATGGAAATGGAATTATTGAACAATATTGCTGCCTACCCTAGTCATGGAAATGGAATTATTGAACTATATTGCTGCCTACCCTAGTCATGAAAATGGAATTATTAAACAATATTCTATTGCTACCTACCCTAGTCATGGAAATGGAATTGAATGAATTTGGTTTTTGTGCAAAGTTGTTGTAATGCTCTGGATTTCAGAGCTGGAGCGCCGAGTTTGAATACATGCAATATTATAAAATATTCTCCGCACTTTAAGATGTGGGCAAGTTATAAGAGTGGGATTCAATCCCTTAGCGTGATAAATTAGAGATGGCGGCAGACAGTCTTAGTAGTTTTAACATAACTATAGGTTTTACTACTCTTTTCTGATCGAACAGTGAGATTTAGCTACGTAAAAGTTTCTATCGTTGTGTCATGTTTCAACCTATACACTAATATATCAGATGATTACAAATTTTTATGTATGATATCGTTCAAAATGTGGCTCGCACATTAGGATTTCTGAAAAAATATTTTCTTTTTAAAATGTGGTTCACTCTTGCTGGCCCAATACATGCTTTAAAACCTGGTTACTCAGAACCTAGGTTTACATTTAATTCACCAGAGATTTGGTTTTGACGCTCACCAACAGGATACTAGGTTCTTATTCCGTTCACCAGAACCAGGTTTAAATTTTACTCATCGGAAATCTGGTATTTAAGCCTAAATTTATGAAACTAGGTTCTCATCCCACTCACCAAGAACCTAGGTTTAAGTTTTACTCATCAGTGATCTGATTCTAAAGCTCAACAACAGGACACTTAGTTTTCAACCCACGCTTAAATTTTACTCATGAGGGATATGATTTTAAGCCCAACAATAGGACATTAGATTCTTATCCTGCTCACAAAGAACCCAGATCTAAATTCAGATTTACATTCTACCCACCAAGGATCTGGTTTTTAAGACAACCATTATTCCATTTTATCACATTCACCAATAACCCATATTTTATTTTCACTTATCAAGGGTTTGGGTTTCAAACTTTTTATCCCGTTTACTAAGAACCTTTGTTCAATAAACAGTTTACATAACCAATCTTTGTAGCTTTAAGTGGGCTTGGTTGGACTTTAAAATATAAAACAATTTAGAAAGCAACTGCAATGGGTTCAGTTAT